CGGGGTCGGCGTGGCGCCCCCCCCCCCCGCTCACCGCCCCTGCCGCCCCTGCCCAGGTACTTCCGGTGGTGGTACCGCAAGACGCGCGTGGAGAAGAAGCGCCCCTTCATCGACCTCCTGAATTCGCAGCCGCTGCGCCAGATCTACGGTGCGGATGCTGGTGCTTCGTAGTGCGGCTGCTGGGCTTGACGCCTCCCCGGCTCGGCTTGTGTGCCTGGGGCAGGGCTCCCCTGGTGGAAGCAGCCTGTGCTGGGCCGTGGGAGGGGGCCCATGTGGGGGGGCAGCCGCAGGCACAGCCGCCCTCGATCATCCCGCGAGCCATGGCCTCTCTTCTGCTTTCCTTTAGGCTGCCCCTTGGGGGGGCTTGGGGGAGGCACCATCACCCGGGGCTGGCGGGGAGACTTCTGCCGATGGCAAATGAACCCTGGGCTCTATCACTACAAGGCAGTGGTTGCTGACCAGGTGCGTGTGCAGGTGGCCGCAGGTGCTCCGAGCCTTGCTGCACTGGGGCCGGTTGGTGGTCTGGGGTGGTTCTTCCCCACTGCTCCCCGGGCATCCTGTGCAGGGACCTGGCCCTGGGGGTGGAAACGGGGGGGGGGGGGGCTGGGCCGGGCCGGTGGGCTGCTGCTCACATTGCCCTTCTCCTGCCCAGTTCACCGTCTGCCTGCGCCGCAAGGGCCAAACCGTTTACCAGCAGGTGCTCTCCGTGGAGCGGCCCAGTGCCCTGCAGGGCTGGAACTGGGGCTTCTGTGGCCACTATGCTTTCTACCATGCGCTCTACCCTCGAGCCTGGACTGTTTACCAGCTGCCCGGACAGGACGTGGTGCTCACCTGCCGACAGGTCTCGCCGATCATCCCGCACGACTACCAGGTGAGCCTGTTTGGCGTGTTCTCCCCAGACAAGCCTCTGTAGGCAGTGATGGGTGGGGCAGGCCTCTTGCGGGCAGGGCGGAAGGAGAGACGGGGCCCTTCTGCCGCTCGCCATGCCCCTCTGCAGGGCTGCCTTGCTTGGGGCGGCGGGCAGCTCAGCTCAGGAAGGCCGCTGCCGGGGTGGCCAGGGCCGCCCGGCCACCTCCATCTTGCTCTGGCCGGCAGCCTCACTGGGCCACGTGGAGGCTGCAGCATCCCAAGACCGCTTGCGCTTTGCTGGCTCATCTCGGAGTGTCTGCGCCACGACCAGCCTGCCCCCATCTCAAAAGCCCTAACGTTACTGGGCGGGGGGGCTGGGCTTGTGGGCGTCTGCGCAGATGGCAGTGGCTCGGAGAGCCAGCAGGGAGGAGCTGGGCTGTGGGCAGGTGTCTCCCGGCCCTTCTCGGGCTGAGGGCGTGTGGCGGCCAAGGCAGCCGGATTCTGCACTGCGAGCAGCCACTCCTGCCCGAGTCGGCCTCATCCAGCCAGAGCTGGCTGATCACAGAGTGGGAGTCTGCCGGTGGCTGCACCGCTCTGTTCCTGTTGTGGGGGGGCACTGTCGCTGTCCAGTCCTCCTCGCTGGAGACGGCCTGTGAGCCACTCTGCCGGTGCGATCCTGCGCTGAGTGGACCCGCCGTGGCCTGATCCAGCCGGATTGCGCTTGAGGCTTGGTTCCACGGTCTAGGCAAGCTGACTGGAGCAGTAGCACACGGGGGGCAGATTGTCTGCGTGTGGAGAGCGGGTGCCCTACCTGGGCCCGCTTGCCCCCAGGTGAACGCACCTGCAAGGTGGCTTAGACATTCCTTCAGGAGTTTTCCCAGCCAAGTGTATTCATCAAGCAGACCCGAAGGCCCAAGTGACGCTCTGTCTGCGCGGTGGCTTCCGAGACCTTAGCTGGAGGAGGTAGAAGCCTTCAGGCACATCTGAGGCGGGCGACCGGTTTGCCCGTGTTTTTTCTGAAGGTGCTTCTGATTGAACTGTGGAAACTTTTCCCAAACAATCGCCATTGTGTGCTGATTCAGTGTCTTGAATCTGTTTTGGACGGGCAAATTAGGCACCTTTGCTTTTGGTGAACCTTGGGAGAAGGCAGATTCCAAGCCTCCCATAAAACGGGGCAAAAGCACAGTTGAAGTTGGAGCTCAACTTTTGCAGTCTGTCCGCCTGTTCTTGTCATTTCCCATTGAGGGGCCCACCCAGCCCCCATCGTGGCCCCTTTGCTTGCTGATTCTGATTTCATGCCCTTCCGGTACACCCAGGAGTCCAGCCTGCCGGTGGGGGCCTTTGTCTGGGAGGTGGAGAACAGCAGCGGCCAGGATGTAGAGGTCTCCATCATGTTCACCTTCCGGAACGGCTTGGAAACCAAGGAGGACCGGAGCGGAGGCCACTGGAACGAGCCCTTCGTGCTGGAGAAGGACGGCTGCTGCGTCCGGGGAGTGCTGCTGCATCACTGCGTCCCGGTGAACCCCTACACGCTGGCCATCTCTGCTCTAGAGACGGTACGGGGTGGAGCCGGGCGTGGACGGCGGGCACCTTTCTCGGGGCGGGAGCGTGCGCCCCTGCTGCGCCGCACGAGGGCAGAGTGCAGGCCAGCCTGGAAGGGGCAGCGGACTGGAGCGAGGGCTGGAGAGGTTGCCAGCTTCAAGCCAGGGTGGAGTCGCGGGAGGGCTGAGCCAGCCTGTCTCTGGCACCGAAGGTGCTCTGGCCCGAGCCCTGCAGTGGAGGCGCACCTGAGCCCACCCTGTAGGATGGGCAGGCTGCCCGCCAAGCTTGCTGACGATGCCAGATCGTTTAGTGTGGGGAAATTCGAGCGGAACCGAGAAGAGCTCAAAGAGGAGCTCCAGGCTGGAGGAATGGGCATGAGACACTGGGAGGCCCCGGCCCTGGCCCTGGCCCGGCTGTAACCGATTGCAGGCAGCATCCCAAAGAAAGGGCTTCTGGCGTGGTTTGGCTGGGGCAAGAGGTCACAGGGCCAGGACTGCGTCACTGGGGTGGGTGTTGCGGCACGGATCCTGCTGGGGAACAGGAGAGGCGATAGCGGCGAGCACCGTGCGGGCACTTCCTGGTAGCACAAGGGCAGAGCCAGGACGTGATCTGGCAGTCAGTGCCGCCTGTAAGACCCGGTGCCCCTAAAAGGCAGTGCCAATCCTGGCACCCGCCCGCACTCCCAGCGGCTCACCAGCTCCATGGGACCCGTTCCTGGGGGGGTGGGGGCTTCTGAAGGAGTGTGCTGTGGGCTGGATCGTTCCGGGAACGAAACTTGGAGTGTGTGCCTAGGTGTGGTTCGTGCTTGTTTGATCTAGTCTTTACATTTCACTAAAGGCTCTTGGCTCGTCCAAGGGATCACTGGTTCTTCTTTAAACAAGGCTCAGCGCCGGTCACTGCCAGTTTGAAAGTCTGTGAAGTAGCGATAGGAAAACTGGCTTTGGAAAGGCGGGGGTGGCCGGTTGCTCCACTCGAAGGAGCAGCCGGGTTGCCCATGAGCCTGGCAGGGCTCCCTGGGGAGGGGGTCCCGTGCTGCAGGGGGTGCCCCCGCCAGTGGCCTGGCCTGCTCTCCAGAGGCGCTGCTTTGCCAGATGGGGCAGCCGCTGAGAGGGCGCAGCAGGGAGGCCGGGCGACTCCGGTGGGGCATGAGCGCCTGGCGAGCCCCAATGCAGGGAAGGGGAACTGCTGCCGCCACAGCGGGAGCCGGCCACGCTCAGCCTGTTCGGCAGGGCTCACCACCTTTCCGCGAGTAACTGCCGCCAGGGCGAGGCGGCTCTTCCCCAGAGAACCGGCCCCGCGACTGCGGCTAGGCTCAAAGGGGCAGGCGTGCGGCTTTGCTGATGCCGGACGGCAGAGCGAGTTTAGCCTGGGCACACGCAAGCGGAATAAGAGCGTGTCATTTGCTCGCACGTCCAGCCTCTTCTCCTCTTGCAGAGAATCCAAGGCTGCTCTCTGGGGATCCTCCTCCTCCACTGCTTTATCCTCATCGCAGCCTTGCAAGGAAAGTTCTTCCGAGCATGTGCCAAGTGCCTCTCACCGCAGAGGCGAGGCCTGTGCAAGACGCCCAAAGCCCGCCCCCCCCCAGTGCCTGGCTTCAGGCTGAGGGAGCGCCGAGTCTGGAGCAGAAGGGGTGGGCGGCGTGGACGCTGCGGAGCAGCCGGGCGAGGCCTCGCCGGACCTGGCGGGGCGGCAGCTGCACGTGCGGAGCAGGGCAGGGCAGGGGTGTCTCCCTCGCAGGCAGGACAGCAGAGAACTGCTAGCGGGTGGGGGGAGCCGGGGGCCGCTTCTGGCTTCTCCAAGCCACGCAGGCCGCCGGCCGGTCTTGCCCTGCGAGGGCTCCCTGCACACGGCCTCCCCCGTCAGCGCTCCCTCGCACGGGAGAAGTGCCGTGCGGAGGCGAGGTCTGCGGAGGCGAAAGAAGCCGCTCCTTGCCGAGGCAGCTGAGCTTCGGGGAGCCCCGAGGCGGGACTGCCGGGGCCACATGGAGTGCCACGCCTGGGCGGGGAGCAGCTCCTGCCTTTCCAGCCAGTTGGGGCCCCCTTGCGAGAGCCCCCTGGCCGCAGGGTGGCCCAGAGAAAGCAGTGCAGTGGGCACGGGGTGGGCGGGTAGGGGGCTTCGAGGAAATGCTGGCTTCTGCTGGCCCCTTCGTTGCCCAGCGGTGGCCACACAGCTTAAGTGAAAGGCGGTCACCTCCACACTGCCCCCTGTCCCGGTTTCTGGATGGCCTCAGGGAGGGAGTCTCGCGTTCTCCCGATGCGTGGAAGGTGGGCCTGCAGTCGGGGGAGCGCCGGTGCTTTGGGGCACTCGTCCGGTGACGCGCGTCCACGGGACCAAAATGCAAGTGCGGTATGGCGGGGGGCACTTGGGCAGCTCCCTGGGGGGGCTTCCTGGCCCTGCGGGACGTGGGTGGGCCCCTCTCCGCCCCAGCTGTGCCAGCGTGGGTCATCCCCGCGGGGCTGCTGGCGCTGAGGAGCGGCCCTCCTGCAGCCTGGCGCTTGTGCTTTGCTCTCCAGCCAGGCACCACTGTCACCCACTGCACCAGCTTCAACCCTGCTGGCACCGGGCAGGACGTGTGGCAAGACCTCCTGGCCGACGGCAAGCTGGCATCCCCGCCAGGTGAGTCCCGGGCTGTGTGGGGGCGGGCAGGCACACGGAAAGAGGGCTGAGGCTCTGGTCTGCCCATGCACTTTCTCTTGCAGGGAGGGCCCCCCCCTCTGAGAAGGGGGAGGCCTGCGCAGCGGCCGTGTGTGCCACCCGTGTGGTGCCGGCCGGCGGGCACGGCACGCTGGAGCTGGGCCTGGCCTGGGATATGCCTCGCATCCGCTTTGGGTCCAGAGAGAAGGAGCACCACAGGTAACTGGGCGGCCGGCGCCCGCGGGGGCCGGCTGCCTGTCCCGTCCGGCGTGCGGGGCCATGCTCTGCCTTCCCGGGCCGCCAGGCCTGAGGGTGGCCAGCGTCCCTCTGCCCCCGGCTGTGCCGGGGTGGCCCGGAGCTGCCTGCCGTGGGTGACTGGCCGGCTTCTGCAGGACTGGCTCGCCCAGCTCGTTATTATTATTATTATTAGACCATTTCTATTCATTCTCCCCTCCCTCCCTCCCTCCCTCCCTGGTGGGGGCCCTGCCGCACAGCGGCCCCTCTTCCCAGCAGTGGTGCATCACATGCAGCAGGCGTGCCTCTGGCTGGCGGTGCGTGTGGGGCTTGGGCGTGTCTGCGCAGAGGCCAATGGGTGACCGGCATGGAAGCCAGTTTTCCTCAAGGCCCCCTTTGCGGTTTGGCTCCGGCAGGGCAGGAGCGTCCCGGGAGCGTCTTCTGCATTCTCGCTTGAAGTGCTGATGGGGACTGGCGGCCGCCTTCCAGTGCCGGACACGTGCTCCCGGGCCCCTCCAGTCCCTGCGCGTTGAGGAGGGCAAGAAGGGGGCCTCGCGGTGGCTGTTCTCAAAGAGGCCAGAGACCGGTTTCCAGTCGTCATGGTTCCCTAGCACCTGCCCCTACCTTTCTGGAGGCTTCTTGCCTCTGCTGGTGCCCTGCCTTTGTACAAATTGCCCACAATGCAAAGGGGAGAGGGGGGGAGCAAATCTCCCCCTCCCCTTCCCAAAAGGCAAGGACACCCTTCTTGTGTGAGCCACTGCTCCCGCCTCCCGGCCTCCGGTCTTCTGCGTCTTTGCGCATTTCTTCCCCAGGCCCACCTCTGCCTTGGCCGCCGTTCGCAGACGGATGGCACGCGAGCCACACGGGGATAAGCGTGTCCCTTTGGATATCGTCTAAATTTGAACGTTCTTGTTGTACAAACACCCTCTCACTGCGCAAGCTGGATCCCCTTAGAGTGAGCACCCGTACCTACAATTTCCTTAAAGCAAGAAAACCCATTCTTGTTGGGGACATTAAACCAATCAAAATATAAAGTACCGTGTAGCCCAAAACCTTTGCATCTGGAATGCGCATCGAGTGTAACCCCTTCCTAGCATCCTGCTGTGCACGCAAATTTCATCCACCGGTGTTGAACAGAAGGAATTTGGTTTCGCTATCCCATAGTACTCAGTGGCAAGCACGAAGCCTTCCCTTCCCGCATTGTGTCCTAGGTTCTGGATCTGAGCCAGAGCGGGCAGCCTCCAGCTCAGGCCGGGTGGCCATTTCCCGAATTGCCCAGTTGGGGTGTCAGCCCAGCTCCCTGTCCGGCGTGTGCCTCCGGCGTGTGTCTGTGCTGGGCAAGCGGCAGTCGCAAAGCTGGGGGCAGAGGAGGAACAGGAGAGAGTGGGTGGCCCTGGGGGAAGCGGGGGGCAAGGTGGGGCCGGTGTTGGCTTTGGGCCGCTGAGCTCCCCTCTCCTCACTCGTCAGACCTGTCTGGAACCCTGTGACCAAGCAGTGCGGGGCACCAGGGTGTAAGAAAGATGCCGGGAAATGAGGAAGGGTCCAGGGAGGGCCACCAAAATGATCCAGGGCTTGGAAACACTGCCCTGTGAGGAGAGGCGGAGAGAACTGACCCGATGGCCTCCTGGCAGCTCTGCTCCGCTGCGACCCCGTGACTTGGCCTGCTCAACAGAGAAGGGGGCGGTGAGGTGGGACTCGAAGCTGGGCGGCTGTGGCTGAACCTGAGCCCGGACCCTCCATCCCCTGGCTGAGGCTGGGTTGGGAAGGCTGCGCTGCGTCCTTGGTCTCCGTGCGTGGCCTGGCCCTTCTCTGGTGCCGTCCGCCGCCCCAACTGCCCGGGGGCACCTGCGCCACCCCTGTGAGCCTCCAGGGATGGGGTGCGCATGGAAGCGCCCCCGGCCTTCTCCAGCCCGCCACGCACAGCAAGGCTGCCGGCTCCCCATGGAGGAGCGGGCACGGGGCCGTTTCTTGAAGGTGGGAGGCGGAGAGGGAGCTCCTCCGGGTGGGCTTGCGGCTACCTCCTCCAGCCGGCCAGGCCAAGAAGCGCCTGGGACCCTCCCTGCCCCCTCCGGGCAAGCGCACCTCAGGCGGCCCCGTCTGTTCCTCCCCACAGGCGGTACACGCGCTTCTTCGGCCGGGAGCAGGAGGCGTGTCCCGCCCTCTCCCATCACCTGCTCACGCACTACAAGGCCTGGGAGCAGCGGATCGCGGCCTGGCAGCAGCCCATCCTGGAGAACAGGTGCGCTGCCCGGAGCCACTCGCCGGGCCCGCGGGGGCCGGGCAGGAGCGCGGGGGCCTAGCACGCAGGTCCCCGCTGGCGCCCCGTGGTGCCTCCAGCCCAGGTGAAGGGAGCCAAGAGCGGCCGCCGCCAGTGGCCGCCGGGGCCCCACCAGAGCCAGTGTGGCCGCCCGGGGACTGGCTCTTGCCCACCCGGCTGCAGCCCTACCCCCCGCTTCCCAGGGCAGCGCGACGTGCGGGTGGCAGGGGGGGCCGGGCGGCCGGGGCTTCCTCGGCCCCGCCTGAGCGGTCCCTCTGCCCCCATCTGCAGCGAGCTGCCCCCGTGGTACAAGTCGGCCCTCTTCAATGAGCTGTACTTCCTGGCGGACGGAGGCACCCTCTGGGTGGAGCTGCTGCCGGACGACGCGGCGGCCCTGGGAGCCGGCCAGGGCCTCTCGCAGCTTCTGCCAGTCCTGCGGGAATACGGGAGGTTTGCCTACCTGGAAGGTGAGTGGCTGCGTCGCCCCTTCCCCGGCCCCACGCGAGGGCCCGGGGCTGCCGCGGGCGCCTGTGCCCCCCAGGGCAGGAGGCGGAGCCCCCCACGCCCGTCTCCCTATTCCTGTCTCCCAGGCCAAGAGTACCGGATGTACAACACGTACGACGTCCACTTCTACGCCTCCTTCGCGCTGGCCATGCTCTGGCCCAAGCTGGAGCTCAGCCTGCAGTACGACATGGGTAGGTGAGCGGGGGCAAGGGATCGGCCCCCGGGGCGGGCGCGGCCCTGCCGCAAGCAGGGGGCCGTGCGCCTCGCGCCGTGCCCGGGGAGGGCGAGGCGGGGCTCCGTGGATTGGCCCTCAGCCCGGCCCCTTGTCCCGCAGCTGCGGCTGTGCTGAACGAGGACACGCAGTCCCGGCTCTACCTGATGAGCGGGCAGATGGCCCAGGTGAAGCTGCGCAACGTGGTCCCTCATGACATCGGGGAGCCCGGTAAGGCCCGTGTGGAGCGGGGCCGCTCCCCAGCGAGGAGGCCGCTCTGGCCCCGGCCCCCGCTCCCGCTGCTCGGCCCCTCGGCACGCTTGCCCGGCCCTTCCAGTGGCAGGAGAGGAAGCGCCACGGCCCGTCCCATGGGAGGAGCGGGAGGCGCCTGTCCGAGGGCGGCCCCCTGGCATTGGAGGCCCAGCCGCGGGCCCGCGGTGCACATGCAGTTCTTGGAGCCGCTCGGCGGAAAGGCCGCCCGGCCACGGAGGTCACGGCTGCCCCCGTGCAGGCGGCCCGGCGTGGCGTGGCGTGGCAGTGGGCTTGACAGGCCTGAGCGTCCCAAAGTGGCGCTGGCGGGTCCTCTGCCCCCCGCCGCAAGATACTGTGCAGGGCTGACCCCCTGGCCCGGCCCGGCCCAGCCCTGGCCGTGCTGGCTGTGGCTGGTGAGAGGGCCCCAAAGCAACTGGAGGGCCCCCGCATGGGGGGCCACCGGTGGGGCTGCCGAGGCTGCTGCTGCTGCGTGCCAGCGTCTCCCCTGTGGGCCTGCAGCCGCCACTCGCTTGGGAGCTCTGCCTGGGGGGCCCTTGCGGTGGGGGGGCTTCCCGGCCCTGACCCCCCGCCCCTCCCTCCGCCCCAGACGACGAGCCGTGGCAGCGCCTGAATGCCTACTTGATCCACGACACGGCCGGCTGGAAGGACCTGAACCTCAAGTTCGTGCTGCAGGTGTTCCGCGATTACTCCTTCACGGGGGACGCCGCCTACCTGCAGGACATGTGGCCCGTCTGCCAGGTACTGCCTGGCCTGCGCGGGGGAGGGGAGGGGAGGGGAGAGCCTCGCTGGCTGTGGGGCAGCTGGGCCACTGGGGCAGGGGGCGGCCCCCCTCAGACCTCCGTGTGCCCCCCCCCGCAGGCCGTGATGGACTCGGAGCTGAGGTTCGACAGGGATGGGGACGGCCTCATCGAGAACTCTGGCTTCGCGGACCAGACGTACGACGCCTGGGTTGTGACCGGGGCCAGGTGAGCCGGCGAGGGGGCGGGGGGCGCCTGTCCGGGGCCCGCAGGAAGGGCCCTCGCCCCCCTCGTGCATGGCCGCCGCTTGGGCCCTTCTGGGGGCCGGCCATCCTGCCCCCCGCCTGAGAGCAGCAAGCGCGCCCCTCGGGTGGAGTGGGGCCCAGCTGGGCCCCAGCCCCGGGCCTCTCCCCCTCCCAGGCACCGGGCTGAGCGGTGCAACCAGCCGTCCCGCCGGGCTGCTGCGCTGGAGCCGCCGCGTGTGGACCGGCAGGAGAGCAGTGGGAGCGGGAGGGGCCCTCTCCGCCCGGGGCCCAGCGCCTCTGGCCGTGCTTGCTCAAGCAGGCGCCGGGCCCGGCGGAAGGGGAGGGCTCCGGACGCTGTGCCGGGAGCACCAGAGGGCCCAGGCACAGGGGTTGCTCTTCCCCAGAGGGAGCACGGGGCAGAGAGGCATGGCTCCCTGACCGCTCCTGCCCCACTGCCTGCCCCAGGAGGTGGTGGCTCTGTGGCCCCTGCAGTCCCCCAGCCCGGGAGGGGCCTCTCCTCTCCTCTGCCGAGCCGTCTGGCTGCCCCTCTTCCTGCTGAGGCCCCCGGGGCAAAGCGGGGTGGGGGCCCCCTCCAGCTTCTCTGCTGCTGCAGCGCCAGGCCGCTGGATTGGCTGGGCCAGCAGGCGGGAGGCGCACGGGGTGCGCGGAGCTGGCCTCCCACCCGAGCTGTGCCCGGGGCCCTTCTGCTGGCGGTCGCAGAGCTGGAGGGGCCCTGGCCCACAGGAGGCCTCCGGCCGTGTCCCCAGCAGCACCTCCCCAGATCCCTCCGCCCACCCCATCTCCTTCCGGCTCTCCTGGGGGGGCCCTCCTGCTAGCCCTACCCCCGAGGGGCTTGGCGCCTGGGGGGCTCCGATGGGCTGGGGCCGCTGCCTCTTCCCCACTGCTCTTTCACCCCCATCCTGGCACGGGCGCCAGTGGAGGCACCCCCTTCTGCGGCTGCAGCGGGGGCGTCCCCTTCTGCGGCTGCAGCGGGGGCGTCTGCTGCCCCGCCAGCCTCCTGCGCTCGATCTGGGGCGCTGCACCTTCCGGGCTGCTGGGCTGCGTGCCCCAATCGCTCCCTCTTTGCTTCGGCAGCGCCTACTGTGGCGGCCTGTGGCTGGCGGCCGTCTGCGTGATGTGCCGGATGGCAGAGATCATGGGCTCAGGGGAGGTGCTGCAGAAGTACGCCGCCATCTTGGCAAGGGGCTCGGCAGCCTTCGAGAGACTGCTCTGGAACGGTAGGTCTGGGCGGCGGGCGGCTCACGTACCATGCCTGCCCCGGCCCGGCCCACCCCACGTGGGCTTGGCGCCCGGCCCGCCCCTCGGCCGCGCATCGACCCCTTCCTCCTCCCCCCCTGCTCCAGGCAAGTACTACAACTACGACAGCGGAGGGGGCCCCTCGTCGGACAGCGTCATGGCGGACCAGCTGGCCGGACAGTGGTTCCTGAGGGCTTGCGGCCTGGGCGAGGGCGAGTCGGAGGTGAGGGGAGCGGGCCTGGGGAGTCTGCGTGACGGGCCGGCTGGCCCATGGGGCGGTGGCGTGTTCCCCACCCCACGCCCCCTCGCCCTGAGCGTCTGTGCTCCAGAGGGCCTCGCGGGAGTCCCCCAGGCTGCTCTGGCCTGCCTCCCTGCCCGCCCGCCTGTGGGAGGCGCTGGCCCGGCGGTGTGGAGGAGCCCCGCCTGATGGCCGCCTGGCTCCCCCCTGGCAGGTGTTCCCCCGGAGCCACGTGCTGAGCGCGCTGAGGACCATCTTTGAGCTGAACGTGCTCGGCTTCGCCGGCGGCACGATGGGGGCGGTGAACGGCATGCGTCCCAGCGGGGTGCCGGACACGTCCAGCGTGCAGTCGGACGAGGTGTGGGTCGGGGTGGTGTACGCCCTCGCCGCCACCATGATCCAGGAGGTAGGTGCCCGCGGCGGGGGGGGGGCGGGGGGCATTGGGGCGGGCCGGTGGCTGGCACTGACCGCTTCCTCCCTCCGCAGGGCCTCGTGCAGGAGGGCTTCCGCACCGCCGAGGGCTGCTACCGGACCGTGTGGGAGCGGCTGGGCATGGCCTTCCAGACCCCCGAGGCCTACTGCCAGCGCAGGGTCTTCCGCTCGCTGGCCTACATGCGCCCCCTCAGCATCTGGGCCATGCAGCTGGCCCTGGAGCAGCAGGCGGGCCGCGGGCCACGGGCCCCCGCCGGCAAGCAGGCGGGCACCCCCGCCAGGCCCTGAGCTGCGGGGGGAGCTGTGCCTGGCCACGCAGGGGGGGCAGCCGCCCCCAGGCTCTGCTGTGGTTCGGGGCCCTGGGGCTGGCGCCTCCCTCCCCTGGCTGGCTCAGGGTTCCCTCCAGCGTGGTGAGGCGGGGGCACAGAAGCCGGAGCGGTGCCTCGCTCCCCCCCAGGCCACAGCTGGCCCTCCGGGTGGTGGAGCACGGGGGGCTCGCCTCCCCCAGGCCCGCCCCCTGCCCCTCCCGCACAGCACATATGAAGGATCCCCACCGCCCCCGGGCCGGCCGAGGGGGCTGTGCTCTACTGCAAGCAGGGGCAGCAGCCTTGCTGGCCCCCCGGGCTCCCCCCGCATCGATTTGCACACAATCAAGCGCTACGCAATCGGGTTGTGCTGGGTTTGTTTCTAGGTGCTGCGAACTTTTAATTCAGAATAAACGGAACTGCTGCCCACAGGGCCCGGTGTCTTCGGCTGCTCGTTCACTGAGCAGGCTCTCCCTTCTCCAGCGGCCAGGGGGTCTCTGGGGCTGCCCCAGCGGGGGTGGAAGGCCGGTCCTCGGGGGCTCCCGGACGCTGCCCCTCAGCCCCATCCCTTCCCCATGGCTGCAGGTGTGGGCAGCCGTGCCCTCTGCCCTGACGCATGGGCTTTGTGCTCCTCCGAGCCTCAGGGTGGGCTGGATGGGCGCCTTGCCTGAACCTGCTGCCCCCCCCCCCGGCTAGCAGGGGTCTGCTTGAGGCCGGCCCCCGCAGGACCGCAGCCATGGCCCCTTTCCCTCCCCAGGGTCCTCCTGGGCTGGCAGGGGGGCAGCAGGGCGCCCTGCCCCGGGAGGTCAGCCCCAGCGCTGCATTCTGCAAGCCAGGGGTGTTCAGCCTGGCGGTGGCGGCGCCAGGGCCAGGGGACGCCGGTTTGGGCCGGGCTGGGGAACGTCTGCAAGCACCTGGCCAGGGCCCCCTCCACACGGGGCGTGGGGGCACAGCCCCCCCCACCCCAGCAACTGCATGCTCGGGCACTGCCTGGGAGCACTGGGAAGCCACCAGCCACCCTGCAGCAGCCATCCACAGCCCATGGGGCTGTCCTCCCGCAGGCCCGACTTCCTCCACGTAGGAGGGGGCAAGCTGTGCTCAAGGCAAGCAGCGCTCGGGACCGCCCGCCCGCCCGCCCGATCCTTGGGTGGAGCTGGGCCTCTGCGGCCTGGAAATGCGCCAGGGACCACAGCCAGCCAGAGAGTTTCAGGACCATCCTCCTCTTGGAGAATGTGTGGAAGATGCGAGAAGCACCGGAAGACTGGAGAAGGGCCGGTGCGCCGGTCCACATGGAGGGAAAGGGCGAACCTGGCCACCACCTTGTCAGTCTGGCGTCAAGCCCTGGGAACGTTCTGGAACAAATCGTACGACGAGCAGCCTGCACGCTCCCCGTGGAACCGTGCAGGCGTTCCAGGAAGCCAGCATGGCTTTCTCAAGAACGGAAGAGTCCTTTTTGACCGTCCAGCCACACGTGGGCTGTGGGAATGCACCGAGCAGAGTCCCTCTGGACTGCAGCAGAGCCTCCGGCAACGTGCCCCTGACGCCCTGGTGACCAGACTAGCAGAAGCGGGCTGGGGAGAAGCCACCCCTGGCTGCACGGTGGGCCAGAGCGCGCTCAGTGGGGCCCGCCTGCAGAGGGGGGGACGGGTCCGGGGACTGGGGCTGGAGCTCTTCAGCAGCTTCATTAACCATCTAGATGAGGAAGGGTGAGAAAAGAGGATAAAAATGGCAGGTGACACAAAGCTGGTGGAAAAGCAAATGCCCTGGAAGGCAGATAAGAGACGGGGATCCTGATAGGTTAGAACGCTGGGCGGAGAACAACGGACTTTCTTCGTTTGTTCGTTCAGGGTTTTATAGAGTGTCACAACAGCCACGTGCCTCTCTGGACAGTTTTCAACAATTAAAAACCACCAAATGAAACATCATCCAGCATACACAAGCTCAATGAAACATCAATTCCAGCAGCAGGAGCACAACCATGTTGACTTGATGCGCTAACCAGGTTGGAGGTGGTCTCATCTATAGATAACGATTGAAATTTAAAGTTCATCAATTAAAATGCCAGCCCAATATGGAAATTAAAGTTAGAATTAAGACTATCAACAGTTAAAACACTCCAAAAATAAACAGGTCTTTACCTGGTGCCAGGAGTCGTGCAAAGGAGGCACCTGGTGCACCATCTCCGGGGAGCCACTTCCACACGTGGAGCGCCGTGGCTGGAAAGGCAACACCTGGGAGAGGGAGCCCAGTGAAGCCCTCGGGCTCTGGGGATGTGCAGGTGCATGCAGGGCTCCTTCAGGTCCTGCACCACATAGGGCATGGGCCCTCAAACTCCGGCCTGCGGGCCGGATCCAGGCAGCCATGCCCATTTGGACCCGCGGTGCAGCGCCCACCGCCACCCACCTCGCCCCGCACCCGGGGAGGCCACGGTTTACTCGCTCGGAGAAAACTCTCCAAGCGAGCAAGCCACTGCCTCGTGCCCCCGCCTCCCCTCCCCTCGCCGCATGCCCTGCCCTGCCTCAGCTTGCGTGCCTCTCCCCTTGCCGGCCCGTGTGCACCGCCTTTCCGGCCCGCACCCAGCACTGGTGCCTTTTAACTGGCCCCCTGGTGGAGAAGTTGGAGGACCCCGGCTTAGGGCTTGGGATGTTAAAAGGAGCGCCCTGAAGCGGCCCAGATGCAGCGGCCAGGGGACGGGCGTGACAGGTTGCCAAGCCCAGCTGGCACTCCAGGAACAACCCGGGATCCGGAAGCAGCCCCCAAGCTCCAGGCCCTGTCCTGCAGGGGGAGTGGAGCCCCATTTAGGTCGGGGCAAATGCCCTCCACCTGGATGTGAGGGCCACCTATCCACCACACCCGCATCTTGCCTGGGTTACGCCGCCATTTGTTGGCCCTCCTCCCGGCCCCCGCCCTGGTCAGAGACTGGTTTCGAAGCATCATTGCCTCACCAGAGTTGGATGAGAGAGAGAAGCCGAGCCGAGTGTCGCCGGTGTACTGACGGCACTTCAGCCAGCCCTCCTGATGGCACCTCCTGTGGCTTCATGTAGGGACAAACGCCACATCCTCCACCTGGGAAGGAGACCACATGCACGGCTACAAGGTGGGAAACATTGCAAATGAGAAGGATCTTGGGTTCTTGTAGATCACAGGCTGAATACGAGCCAACGATATGACACAGCGTCAAAAGGCAGATGCTATTTGGGGCTGCATCAGCGGCAGCATCACCTCCACAACCCGTGGAGCACGAGGTCCGCTGTCCTCGGCACGAGTCCGACCTCGCCTGGAGTGCTGGGTCCCGTTCTGGGCACCTACGTTGGAACAGGCGCAGGCGAGCTAGAAAGGCGCAGAGGATTCGGGGACGGGAGGCAGAGCCCCGTGAGGGAAGACGGGAGCACTGGGCACGTTCGGCTCGGGAAGCAAAGACTGAGGGGAGAGGAGGGCGCCCTCGGCGAGCACCTGAAAGGCTGTCACAAGGGGAAGGACGAGGCCCCTCCTCCATTTCAGAGTGCAGGACACGCAATAAGGGGCTGGCATTAAAAGCAAGCAGATTTCGACTAGGCAGCCGGAAGAATTCCCTGACTGGCAGCACGGTTTAGCCAGGGAACCCGTTACCGGGGGAAGCTGCGGGCTCCCCCTCGCCGGAGGCATCCGGAAGGGATCTGGACAGCCCTCTGAGTGGGGTGGCGTCACTCGGTGTCCTGCGACAGCAGGGGCTGGACCTGAGGGCCTTCTGGCCCCTTCCCACTCTGCTCTTCTGGGCTACTGTGATTCTGCTTGAAAGGCTGAGGAAGGGCGGGTCTCTTCATTATTATTATTATTATTATTATTATTATTATTATTATTATTATTATTATTATTATAACATTTCTATGCTGCCCCTTGCCGAAACCTCGGGGCAGCTTACAACACGATAAAATACATTGAAATACAATAGCACATAATAAATTACCATTAAATACAAAAATACAAAAAATACATTGATTTACAAATATAAGATTAAAATTATCAGTATAAATTAAGTAAATAAAAATATAGGAGGAGAAAGAGAAGGAAGAAGAAGTTGCCCTGGCCAGATCATATGTTTTAACAATTAAAATTATGTTTAAATAAAAAGGTCTTTACCTGGCGCCGAAAAACCAGTAACGACGGTGCCAGGCGGACCTCTTTGGGGAGTGAATTCCATAGGTTGGGTGCCACCGCAGAGAAAGCCCTCCTCCGAGTACTTACTCTCCTAATTTCTTTCATGGAGGGTTCCCGGAGAAGGGACTCTCCCACAGATCTCAAAGGGCGGTCGGGCATATACGGACGTAAGTCATGGCTGAGCGCAGGCCATGGAGTCATGGGCCTGAGGCACAGCAAAGCATGCCCTGCTTCAGAGCAATACAGCCGTGGAGCCCGTGACCCGGGCAGGAGGCAGCCTCTCCCGGAGCAGCAGCATCCCAGAGGCAGGGGGCGGGAGCCAGTGGCCCTGTCGCCCCTTCCGGCTCTCCTATGAGTCTAGGGAGCCATGGCCTCCCTGCCCAGGTACTGGTGCACCTGGGCCGCCAGGCAAAGCCGCAGAAGACACTCCAAGCCACCAAGGGCACCTGGCCCTCAGCTGACTGGGGTTATTGGGGAGGCCCCCTGCTCCTTCACGGGAGGGCAGCCCCATTCGGAGCAGGTCACACGCCACAGGAGCCCCTGGCAGCCCCCCCCCCCCCGTCCGGCTGGAGCTTCAGTTCGCGGCCTGCATCCGGGCTGCTGGCTTGGCCTGGCACAGGGCGGCTCATCCACAGCCCCAGCTCTTGGAGGTGGGAAGCGATGTGTCGCCCGGGAACTGACGGGACGGCAACGGGAGCCCCAGCCCCGCGGACCTCATCCGGCCGTTTCACGTGTCACCGGGAACAAAACCGACCCCGAGGCAGTCCGTGCTGAAGAATCCGTGGTCCTGGACAGAGGCGGGTGGGCATCCCCTTTGGAGCTGAGCCCCTCAACGCGGGCCTGTGGTGGGCGGCTCAGCGACCAAGGCAGCCAGAGTGCTCGGTTGCGACGAAGAATGAAAATCCCAGATAAGCCGTCGCTAGCAAAGGAGCTGAGGCTGCGCCTGCCAGACGCTCGCAGGGCTGTGATGCAGCCACACTTGGAGCCCCGAGCTGCCGCACCGCCGGGAGAGTGCAGCGAAGGGAGCTGGCCCCGGCCCGGGTCTGCACAAGCGGAGGCATCCCGCTTTTAAAGAGGCCGGTCAGGGAGGACGGGGCCGGAGGGCTTACACCAGCGCTAGAGCTCGGGGTCACCCCACGAAGCTGCCTGGGGGAGCTGCGGCCAACAGCAGACGGGCCCCGGGGGGCAAAGCCCTGCACTGGGGCCCCTACGCCAGCCGCAACTGCTGTCCGTTTCAGAAGTTTCCCAGTTCTCCAAGGCTTAGCACACGGATTAGTATGGGGCCCATGGGCAGGTG